TTGAAAGTGCTTTTAATTGTACCAGAAGTTTGATTTTGTTGTTTTGGTTTTCATTTAGTTCAAAGGATATTTTGGGGATTTTTATTGTCTATTTCTCTTTTGATCTTTTGATCATTCATTATTGAGTTGTTTAATCTCCATGATTTTATATACTTTCTAGAATTTTGTTTGGTGTTGATTTTGTTTTATTGTATAATGGTCAGATAAAATATATAAGATTATTTCAATTGTCTATGTTTGTATAGCTTTGTTTTGTGTATCAGCATGCTGTGTATTGAACAGAAGCTTCCAGGGGCTGCTGAATAAGTAGAATGGGTGTGGAGCTAATCTGGAAGGTTTGCAAATGGAGGAGGGTTAGGAGTGGGAGAGAAAAAGAAGACATGTCTTACCTAGGAAAAGTGGCGGTTGTGTGGTACATTAACAGTGTTCATGGGATGTAGGTCTAGAACTAAGCTTATTAGAATATTTTAACATTTTTAGACTATTTTACCTATTTTTCTTAGAATATTTTTAATATTTACTTTATTATTTCTGATAATTTCCTACATGAGTGCTGTATTCACATTTTTACCCCATATTCTCTTTCCCTCCAAACTCCTCCCATGTCTCTCCCTACTCCCTCCCAACTTCATAACTTCTTTAATATTGTTGTAACACACACATATTTATGTTTATACACAGACACTTCATATATATGTATGTTCACATAAATACAACCTTCTGAGTACATTTAGTGTTGCACATATGTATATATTTTTAAGGCTTACCCTTTGTTCTATACAGAAGGCATTATCTTGTAGCACACATTCTACCTCTTGATTCTTACCATTTTTCTGCCCCATCTTCTGCAATGTTTCCTGAGCCTTGAGTGTAAAGCTTGTGTTATAGAATATCAGTTCGGTGTGAGCAACCCATAGTCAGTTCTTAGCATTCTGACATGATGTATTTCTAAGATAGTCTCCATCTGCTGTAAAAAGGAGTTTCTTTGATGACAGGTGAAAGCTATATTTACCTGTGAATAGAAGTATAAGTACTTAAAATGCAGTTGGGAATTATAGTAGTTTATAATAAGGCATTAGTAGGTTTTCCTCAAGTGTCCATTACCTTACCAGCTACGGGGTTGGTTAGGTTTACTGTAACAGGCAGGATTTCCTTTTTATTGAGTGAGCCTCATGTCTAATTAGTTTCCAGTTGCTTACCCTGAAGATAAAAGTGCCACTGTTGCACCACTGGAGATAGCTTGCTATGTTGGTAATTGTTATGACCCATGGTGTTTACAGTTGATCTTAAATTTAATTACTTTTCTCCTTTGATAACTTACATAAGACCTTCAGATACTATGAGAGCTAGTCCTTGGGGAGGTGGTTGCCATGTCAGCTCCATTTGGAGTCTTCTATTCTCTGTATGTGTGTGGAGTCTTCAGCAATAGGGTCTTATCTTCAAATTCTGGAAGGCAACAGCAATAGAGTATAATATTTTGATAATCCCTTAGACTCCTTTAACTAATGAATTGAAGAGAGGTTTATTATGGTTGTCTCTGAAGTTTTTGTTAGATAGTCAATGGCTCTTGGGGGAAGCATTAGCACCCCAAATAGCATAACATCATTTAAATTATTTATGGGGCTGGAGAGATGGCTCAGTGGTTAGGAGTACTTGTTGATCTTGCAGAGAACCCAGGTTTGATTCCAAGCACCCACAAAGTGGTTCACCATCTGTAACTCTACTTGTAGAGGATTCAAAAACATCATCTGACATCTGTGGACACCAGGTAAGCACATGGCACAAAGGCATATATGAAGTATAGCATATTAAAAAAGAAAATAATGAAAGGCTAAATACTAGAGGATGAGGAAGAATAGAATGCAAATATGGAACATGAGTTATAAAAGAGGATAGAAAGCTATCTGTGTGTCTAGTTTTACAACTGCCATAGAATTTTTTGGCTTGGATCATGGGTAAATGCACAAAAAAACATTCTAAAGTTAAAGCATAAAATTCAATTTTAAAGTCCACAGCTTCTGTTCTAAATGGCTTCTTTAGGCAAGCACATCCAATGGCAGTAAACTGCACTGCAAACACTGTGCTCCATTTCTGGCCTCACAATTTTACTTGCTTTCACAGACGGCTACTGGAATGATGTACCCCAGGTATGCCCCTCCCTTTACCCAAGCCTCTGCCCACCAATTCCCCTGAAAGTACACCCAACAATTCCACAAATCCACAAACCCAGCCCCAGAAGATACTAGAAGAGGTCTCATTTTATCCTTTATATACATCATCTATGTGCAAGTATCTCTTAGCAAGCATGTGACTCGATGGACCCAACATTGGAGCTGAGATATGAGCATCATGAATTAGAGGCTAGGGTCATCCAGGGATTGGTGCCAGTCTGATGAGCTTCCAGTTTATGACAATGAAAGTCATAGTAGAGAAGGTTTGTCTGCTCTCTCTCTCTCTCTCTCCCCCCCGCCTCTCTCTCTCTCTGTGTGTGTGTGTGTGTGTGTGTGTGTGTGTGTGTGTGATTGGTATCCCTGATAGAATAGTGGCTGTAAATTACTAAATAAGTTTCTTTGAGGGTCAGAATTCATAAGTAGAGACTCAATGAAAAGAACATAAAAGTATATCTGATAAACTGAATGAAGTAGCAGTAGCTGCTTGAAGGGGATTAGTTCTGTATGAGCATAAGCTAGAAAGAATCCCTTATGATAGTGAGGTCTCATTTTATCCTTTATACATCATCTATGTGCAACTATCTCTTAGCAAGCATGTGACTCGACAGACTCTCATTATTCTCTGCACAAGTCTCTATCCATGACCTCTTACATCCAGCCAATAAAAAAAGGAAAACAAATCTGAGCAGCCTGTGAACAATCAAGACACTAGAAAATTCACTGTCCAAATTGGCAGAGATTAAGTGATCAGTCCTTCAAAACTCTTGCTTCACAGAAAAGCCTGTCAGATATTCTGGGCCAGATTGGATACCACAAAGACATGGAGAAACCTCTGGTGACTGTCCTGGCAGTCTATTGTTTCTGACATTTCTATAGCTCTGGAAGCTGTTTCCTCTATGCTTCCTACATACTTAGGTAATATTATTTCCTTCTAAGGCCTCTGATGAGGTTGAAGACTAGAGAGTCATAGTCTCACTACAATTAAGCTTAAAACAATGGTTTATGTCGCAAAAGATGTTTTAAGGTCTAGAGAGATTTTCTTAGGTTGATAGATAGAAAATATGATGAGAAAATGATTTAAGTACAGAACTTAGGACTCCCCAGGATAGAATAGATAGTAAAATACTTTTTTCCAAGATTGCCAAATACAAATGGACTGGACATTGCAAATGTTATTCTTACCTGATAATTATCATAATTCTTATTGTACATAGTTTATTAATGTTAGAGAAAAAGTATTTTTTAAACAGGAAGGGGAAAATGTTGTGGACATTTTGGTTCATGATATGTAAACATGTTTTTGTTATAATCCAAATGAGGAATTTTAGTTTGTTAATTTGGAATATGGTTTTTGCCAGCTGGAATTAGTTGAATTCTGAGGATTTTGAGGTGTATAAATATGATAAGCCAGAGGAAAAAAGCACAGCAGCTTGGAGAGAATGGAGGTGGACTGCTTGCTGAATTTGTTAGTCTGCTGGTTACCTGGAGTTCTGGATTTCCTGATGATGTATACTGGAATTGCTTCCAAAAGAATCCTACAACCCTAACCAGCAGGAAGAAGTAAAGAGGGCTACAGTAAAGAGGGCTATGTCTCCTTTTCCCTTACAACTTTTTTTTTCCCTTCTACCTGTGGTTAGGGGTTGGAAGGGAGTTATAAACTTTAAGAACTTCCAAATAAAGTAGAGTTTGAAAAACTAGCACCCACCAACAAATTACACATGGTGAAGCATTAATTTCTGTTTTTAGAATTGCTTACATTTTCAAAGCTTAGCTGATTGGAGGTCATAAAAGAACCTATAATTTGGTGGATGAAATTACTGTCAGTCTGGTGTCTGTGAAAAGGGATGGTATTTAAATCAACTACACTTAGGGAGAAATTCTTCATTACCTTGTCTCAATGTGAAATCAATTAAAAATTTCAACCTAATAAAATACATCCCAATTATGTCCGGCAAAATACAAATAAGAGCTTGTCTTTCACTTAAAAGAAATTTAAAAAAAAGATGCCTTTACAAAAGCATCATGAGTCACATTAATTAATTAAAATGAATCATTTATTGTCATCAGAAGTTACTGGCAAAAGTCAGTCAACAAACTTTCCCACCATAAGATATGGGACATACTCCATAACAAGTGTATCCCTTTGGTTGTTGTTTTTTCTTTCTTTTCTTTTCTATTTTTTTTTTTTGAGACAGAGTAACTCTGTGTAGCCTTGGCTATCCTGGAACTCAGTCTGTAGACCAGGCTGGCCTTGAACTCACAGACTCTGCCTCCCAAGTGCTGGAATTAAAGGCATGCTCCACCACTGCTCAGCAACAAGTGTATCCCTAGGACTGGTAATTAATACAATTTTTCTGTGTAAAAAAATCTAATACACTAAAACTCATACTATGAAACACTCAGGTGCTTCACACCTGTCCATTAATAAGAACTTTGGGGTTAATAGTACAACTGATGAAAACTGCATATGCCAGAACAAATTATTTATCTTTCCTGGACCTACCAGAAAGAAAAATATCCCTGTACTGAAATGAGCAGACTCAAAAATCTGATAGGTTAAAGACCAGAGAGCACCACTGGTCCCAGAGAAAGTCAAGTCTTAGCAGAGTGAGGAACTTACAGTGAAGTCTCCAACCTTAGGCAGGACAAGAGGAAAGGAACCCCTGTGGCTACTCCGAACATGGAAGCAGGGAGAATGTATGCTAAGCCCAGAATTTTGGAAACAAAAATAAATATAGAGACACAAAGCAGAAACTGGCAGCCACCAGCATTTCTAGTCTCTTCAGCACTAGGAAGATGGAAGAAAGAACAGATGTGGCTGCAGATAGGATGGGAATCTCATTGGGCCTGCTGTTCCTGGGCCACTTAATAGTGCTCACCTATGGTAAGGCAGCAAGCTGATGCCTGACTACCTCTTCTTCCTCTGGCAGAGGATGTGGGTTTTGATGTTAAGTGTTTACTGAGAAAAGCTTGTTCCTAATGGGCAGTCACAGTTATGTGCAATTCTGCAGGTTTTCTGAAATTTGGACAGAAGGGAGGTGAGTCATTGAAATCTAGTAAAAGTTCCAGAAGCTGCCTTGGATAGAAATATTCAAACTTTGGGCAGACTGCAAGGAATTTTATGAAAGAAGGGAGAGATAGAAAGACCTGGAGGGGTTAGGAGCTCCAAAAGGAGACCAACAGAGCCAAAAACTGGGCCCTGAAGGGCCCTAAAGAGACTGATACCCAAACCAAGGACCATGCATGGAGATAATCCTAGAACCCCTGCACATATGTAGCCCATTTGACTCAGTCTCCATGTCAGTTCTTTAGTAAGGGGAAGAGGGGCTGTCCTTGGCATAAACTCAGTGGCAGGCTCTCTGATCACCTCCCCCTGGGGGATGCAGCCTTACCAGGCCACAGAGGAAGACAAAGCAGTCAGTCCTGATAAGACCTGATAAGTGAGGGTCAGATAAAAGGGGAGGAGGACCTTCCCTATCAGTGGACTAGAGGACGGGTATGAGGGGAGAACAGGGAGGGAGGGTGTGATTGGGAAGAGACAAGGGAGGGGCCAGGAAACAAAGTGAATGGACTGTAATTAAAAAAAAGGAAAGGTTCTTCTTTTGGAAAGTATCTTCATGATTTTCTGGTATTTCAGGAATGCCAGAAGACTCTAATGATACCCAAGTCCCCATATTCTCTTTCTCCTTTGAAATTTTACAATTATGACCAACTTCCCATTCCAAACTTTGATTCTTGCTACAATATACAGTTCCCCAATAAATAAATGCTGTTTAATAAATAGGTATGAGATTATAAATAACCTGTACCCAATGATGGTAGGGCATACTTTTAATCTCAGCACTTGGGAAGCAGGGGCACTCTGATCTCTGTGTGCTCAAAAACACTTTGGTCTATATAGAAAGTTCCAGGCCATCTTCAACTACATGGGGAGACTCAGTTTCAAAATAGGTGATAGATAGATAGATAGATAGATAGATAGATAGATAGATAGATAGATGTAACATGCTTCACCAACTAGAATTATATAAAATTGCTCAGAATTTGCTATTTATACACTTTTAGAGCATAGACAATAATGATTTCTACCTTATACTACCCAGGAGTATTTCCAAAATGTACTGCTGTTGTTCAAAACCTCTTATCTATTGTTTCTATCCAAGGATCAACCCAGAACACGTCCTCTTTCTTTTTCCATGTCAACACTTCAAACATCTGAATATCTGTACATCTGAACATCTGAATCCCCTTAACCCTCTCCTTCTATAAGGTAACCATTTCTAAGTTCAACAACTAAAGGATTTGATATGTATCTGTGAATATATCTCCACATTCATTTACAATTCAAGAAAATAAAATGCCTTTTCAGTAAACTAAGTAAAAATAATAACTAAGTAGGACTGCTTGTTTCATCTTCCTACATGGTGAGATTGTATCAAACATAATTTGAAGTACCTAGAAATACTGAATTAAGTTATTAGCTCTTTTTTTTAACTGAAGTTGACCTTTTATATGTTCATAATTTTTTTATTTCTTTATTAATTACACTTTATTCACTTTGTATCTCTCCTGTGTTTCCCTCCCTCCTCCCATCCCAATCCCTCCCTTCCTCCACCCTCTACATGCATGCCCCTCCCCAAGTCCACTGATAGGGGAGGTCTTCTTTTCCTTCCTTCTGATCCTAGTCAATTAGGTCTCATCAGGAGTGGCTGCCTTGTCTTCTTCTGTGGCCTGGTGATGCTGCTTCCCCCTCAGGGGGAGGTAATTAAAGAGCAGGCCAATCAGATTATGTCAGAGGCAGTCCCTGTTCCTATTACAATGGAACCCGCTTGGACACTTAACTGCATGGGCTACATCTGTGCAGAGGTCCTAGGTTATCTCCATGCATAGTCCTTGGTTGGAGTATCAGTCTCAGGAAAGACCCCTGTGCTCAGATTTTTTGGTTCTGTTGCTCTCCTTGTGGAGTTCCTGTCCTCTCCAGATCTTACTGTTTCCCACTTCTTTCTGGCCTTTTTAAAGGTTAAAATATGGCATGGTTGTTGCAAGAGTTCCTGGTGAGGGCAAAACCAATAAATTCAACTTCAGCATCCCCCTTAATAGAAGTTGTGGTACTTAGCATTGTGTCCTGGAAGGCAAATAGCATACCCTCACTCTACTCACAAGGCATTATATTCTACTTGCTTAACTAAAATATGTGCTAAAAAAGATTCATTCATTAATATCGTGCATTTTGAAACCGCATCTACCAGGAAAGACATTGCCTAAATACAGCCCTTGGCCCTGGTTGAATAAAACATAAAATCATCAAGATACGAGCTTACATATGAAAATTTCTAATAAAATGCAGTGGGTCCCCATCATTTTTTTGGCTCTGGGCTCCCCTCCTCAAACCATGAAGAAGCAATTTCCTTTATTTCCACCACAATAACTAGCACCACCAGCTCTAGAAATTTACTCAGGTTCTTTTCTTCTCCAGACCAAGCATGGATAAAAATTTTACCCTCAGGATATAATTCTCTAATATCTTTTTGGTAAGAACTGAAGGAAATGGGGAAAAGAGGGAAAAAAAGAGAAATAAGGACAAAAATCAGCGAGGCTTACTAACAAAATACAAGTTTCAATCTTAATAGCTAATGGTTTGATTAAATAGGAATCCACATCCAGGATTTTTGCTTCACCCTATGTTACACCTTTAGAGTCTGCAATTGCTTATCTTTTTCACCCTTCCAGAAAAGAACTTGAGTTTATTTCCAATCACTGTGCCTTTCTCTCAAGTGAACAAGAAAAGATAATTAAGGGAAAAGGGCTGCTTCACTCAACAATCTGCATAAAATAAAGTACTTCACTGTCACTATTCACCATTTTTCTTCCTACATCTCATTTGAATATAGTGAAAGAAAACATTATAGGCAAGTAAAAAACCATAGAATTCCTAAAAATTAAGTCTACCCTAACTCTCCACATAATACATGGGGGGGAAAAATGGTCTTTCACTGTGGAAGTGACTTACTGACAATCATTTCCTATCAAGATAGTGACATAAAAGGGGCCTAAAGCAACTAGAGCTAAAGAATATTAAGGCTTCATCCTACAGACTGAGTCAGATGGATGGGAAAGTTAACAAAACAGAAAAGCACGGGGATGATGAAAATGTGATTTGAAGGAAGCATGTTTCTCAGAAACCTATTGAGCCTGTCTCTCACACCCTCCTTTAGGTGAACTTGTTGTCTGTGTTTGTTTCTTTTACTTGGTTCCCTGTCTTTTGGCCTTCCCATCCTAAAAACATCAGAGTGTGTGACAAGGATCTGGAAAGGGGATGTGAAGAGTCAATGTATCTATGATCTATGAAAGGCTACAGTCAAGTTTTGGATGAAACACTGCTCTGACCTAGTTACCATCTTCCTACATGATTCCTTGGGAGACCATATCCAGCCAAAATACAGAGGACACCTGAAAGTGAGCCACAAAGTTCCAGGGGATGTTTCCCTCCAGATGAATACCCTACAGATTGATGACAGGAGCCACTCACTGTCCAAGTGAGGTCGCCTGGCAGACTCCTGATAGAAAACAAGTGATGAGAGATAAGGTTATTGAGCTCCATGCTCAAAATTGTAAGTCACCGTGAGAGTAGAAATGGACTGGTAAGAAAAATGTGATAGAATAGTATGATTGCAGACGCCTCTGAGAAATCGAGAGGCCATGGTTTATATGTACATAAGTTCTACCTAATTCTATTGTGCTAATCACATGAACCTTGAGGTCATCACGTCAAGGGAAATTACAGTGTTGGGAAATACAATTGTATTGCCTTTTAAAATGCCACCTCATCTCTCCTATATTCACAAAATTCCTTCTGAGGTAGTCATTTCCACCAGCTGAACTTTGCAATTTACCACAAAACTTTACAAACTGAAATCAACATTATCCTCTACATAGCAAAAGCCCAAACTCTATCCATTTAGATCCAACCATATAAAACACTCTGCAGCAGCTAGCCCTGCTGGCCATTCCTTCCTCCATCTTTTAACCATTGTTACTTGGGAAGTAACAGGTTGTGTCAGCGCTGGGAAACCAAAACCAGCTCCTTTACAAGAGCAAAAAGCCTCTTAATCCCTGAGCCAACACTCCAGGTCTTACTTCTACTTTTATTCATTCAGCTGGAGGAGATGGTTTTTGGTTCAGATGTTTTTTTAAATTTAATATGATTTGTTTTCCACACAAAATATGTTCCTTTTCTAGCAATGCTCCATGTGTACTTGCTAATAGCATCTACTCTGCTATTACTATATCAAATGTTCTATATATGCCACTGTTGGTTAACACTGTTATTCAAACCTTGAACTTCTTTAGTGATCTTCTTTCTAGTAGTTATGCACACCATTTAACATGGGATATTAACTCCAAATTATTAGTAATACATTAACCATTTCTCCCTCCAGTTCTACTAATTTTTTCTTCATGAATTTTGGGGGCTCTATTATTATCAGTATATGTTTATAGGTGAATTTTCTTTTTTAAAAAATGCAAATTTTAGGATTACAAATTGTACTTCTTTGTACCTAGTAGAAATCTCTGTTCTCAAATTTAATTTGTCTTATGTCAGTATAGTCATTCTACCTCTGTCTTTGCTAATAACTGCATAGTACATCTTTTGACATTCTTTTTTTTAATTTTTTATTTAACTTTTATTAATTATACTTTATTCATTTTGTATCCCCCATAAGCCCCTCCCTCCTCCCCTCCCAACCCCACCCTCCCTCCCCTTTCTGCATGCATGCCCCTCCCCAAGTCCACTGATAGGGGAGGCCCTCCTCTCCTTCTTTCTGATCTTAGTATATCAGTTCTCATCAGAAGTGGCTGCATTGTCACCTTCTGTGGCCTGGTAAGGCTGCTCCCCCCTCAGGGGGAGGTGATCAAAGAGCAGGCCAATCAGATTATGTCAGAGGCAGTCCCTCTTCCCATTACTAGGTAACCCACTTGGACACTGACCTGCCATGGGCTACATCTGTGAAGGGGTTTTAGGTTATCTCCATGAGTAGTCCTTGGTTGGAGTATGAGTCTCTGGGAAGTTTCCTGTGTTCAAATTTTCTTGCTCTGTTGCTCTCCTTGTGGAGTTCCTGTCCTCTCCAGCTCTTGCTATTTCCCACTTCCTACCTAAAATTCCATTCATTCTGCCCAACAGTTGGACATCAGGCTCAGCATCTGCTTTCACAGTCTGCAGGGCAGAGGCTTTTAGAGGCCCTCTGTGGCAGGTTCCTAGTTTGTTTCCTGTTTTCTTCTTCTGGCTTTCAGAGGCCCTCTGTAGCAGGTTCCTAGGTTGTTTCCTGTTTCCTTCTTCTTCTGATGTCCATCCTCTTTGCCTTTCAGGATGGGGATTGAGGATTTTAGTTAGGGTCCTCTCTTTTGCTTAGTTTGTTTAGATGTACAGATTTTAGCGGGTTTATCCCATGTTGTATGTTTATATGAATTAGTATATACCATGTGTGTCTTTTTGCTTCTGGGACAACTCACTCAGGATGATCCTTTTCAGGTCCCACAATTTACCTGCAAATTTCATGATTTCCTTATTTTTCATTGAAGAGTAATACTCCATTGTATAGATGTACCACAATTTCTGCATCCATTCTTCAGTTGAGGGGCATCTGGGCTGTTTCCAGCTTCTGGCTATTACAAATAAAGCTGCTACAAACATGGTTGAGCAAATGTCCTTTTTGTGTACTTGAGCCTCTTTTGGATATATGCCTAGGAGTGGTATGAATTTCTTTCCTTTTGAGCACTAAGCAAGCATATCATATTGTTAGGTATGATAATCTGAGACTGCCTTTAAATTTGAGATTTTTTTTTACCTATATTTAATCTAACTACTAATAAAGTAGGATTTATTTCTACCATTTTTTTATTTTTAGTATTTATCCTTTATACTTATTCCTATGTTCCTTCATTGTTTCTACCTTTGACGTTTAACAGATAATTTCTAGTGTATTATATAGTTCAATTATTGTTTAGTTTTACTACTGTGCTAGCTAGTTTTATGTCATCTTCATACAATAGAGTCATGTTGGATGAGGGAACCTCAACTAAGAAAATGTCTTCACTAGACTGTCCTGTGGGCAAGCCTGTGTTAGGTATCCTTGGCTAATGATTGGTGTGAGAGGACCCAGATCACCACAGGCAATACCCACCTCCCCGGGTTGGCAGTCCTGAGTGCTATAAGAAAACAGGCTGAATAAGTAAGCAACATTCCTCCATGGCTTCTGCTTCAGGTCCTGGCTTTAGGTTCCTACCATGAGTCCATGCCATGACTTCTCTAAGCGATAGAGTATGACATGAGGTTTGTAAGCTGAAATAAACCCTTTCTGCCTCAAGTTGCTTTGGGTCATTGTGTTTTATCATAGCAATAGAAATCCTAACTAAGCATTTACTAAGTGTTTTCATTATTTTTTCTGTGTGGAATGCCATCAATTCTTAATTTATTGGATTTATTCTAATTTAATTTTATAGTATACAAAGGTTGTCTCTATAAAGATCAATTTCTTATCCTTTAATTCTATCAGTACTGCTAATTAAATCTTAGTGTATTATCATAGTATGCATATTGATTTAGCATTATTGTTTTGTGAAGTGTTTTTCTAAGTCAGGTTGGAAAAGTATGTTCAGATGCAATACTTGCCTGTATAGTTACCTCTACTGGTCCTTTTTTATTTAAGATTAGTTTTGAATATCATCCACTGCACTTTTATTTTAGCTTGAAGAATGCCTTTTGACATTTCTTATGAGTCCAGTCTACTAGAGAATATTCTCACAATCACTGTATATTTAGGAAATGTCTTGATTTTTCCTTCATTTTCATTTGGGGTGTTTGTTTGTGTTTTAAGTGGGGTTTTTCTATGTTGGCAAACTAAATTTATTCTTGTAGTTGGGACCACAAGTACATGTTCTACTTACTGGGTTTCTTTGTTTGTTCAGAACTTTTGCATCTTCTTGTCTATTCATTATCATAATTAGCTGTTGAATTCAATATTTGATTAGCCTAAAGATCAGCTAATGACTGGAGAAAGATTTCCTTAATTGCCAGAAGAAAATAAATCATGTATTATTTACGAAATAACTATGTTGCTTATTAAGCTATGATATCAACATGCAGCCAGTTTAGAATTATGACACATTGTTTATTTTAGACTAGCAAAAAATTCAAGGTTAACCATCGGTGTGATCTTATGCTTTTCTTATATTTTATCAATATGCATAAGGCTTTATGATAAGATATGTTATACTTGATTGTAAAAGTTGTCAGACTCTTCAAACTTCCTGGGGACTATCTCATTTGTGAGCATTTCCTTTTAAAAATATTGGCTAGTCTTTTCTTTCCCCAAGCAGTTATCTATTGCCTCAGGCTTCTGTGTGACAAATATTATCCTAGCCATAGGAGAATATCTTTGGAGTCATTTTTTTTTCAGAAAATTATTAGATAGATCAAATAAAAATAGTATTTTTGGAATGAACTGCTTATTCTCGCACCTGGAATAGAGTATTTTTTTTAACCTCTGAGGTAAGTTGAAATGCCATAAAGCTTCATGTTATAATCAAAACTGGGCTGTTTCTCTTCCATAAAATACACCATAAATTTCTATGAACCAACATCAAAAATTCTGGGAAAAAATGACAATATCAAAATATTTTCATTATACCTTTATTTCTGTAAAGGAGTAAATTCTTTGAAGTCATTACTTCACCATTTTCATTGAAGTTACATACCAACATTTCCTTTGTTAGACTTCTAAAGACTTTATCAAGAATGAATCAATTCTCACTCAGAAAGACCAATGAGACAGACACTGGAAGAATGAGGAAAGAGGCAACAGGACAGGAGCCTACCACAGAGGACCTCTGAAAGACTCTACCAGGCATTGTATCAAACCAGATACTGAGACTCATAACCAAACTTTGGGCAGAGTGCAGAGAATCCTATAAAAGCAGGGGGAGATAGTGGGACCTGGAGGGGACAGGAGCTCCCCAAGGAGAGCAACAGAACCAAAATATCTGGGCACAGGGGTCTTTTCTGAGACTGATACTCCAACCAAGAACCATTTATGAATATAACCTAGAACCCCTGCTCAGATGTAACCCATGGCAGCTGAGTATCCAAGTGGGTTCCCTAGTAAGGGGAGTAAGGACTATCTCTGACATGAACTCAGTGGATAGCTCTTTGACCACCTCCCCTCCCCTCACCAAGGAGCAGCCTTACCAGGCCACAGAGGAAGACAATGCAGCCAATTCTGATGAGACATGAGAAGCTAGGTTAAGATGAAAGTGGAGGAGGACCTCACCTATCAGTGGACTTGGAGAGGGGTATGGGAGGAGATGAGGGAGGATGGGATTGGGAGGGAATGAGGGAGAGGGCTACAGCTAGGATACAAAGTGAACAAACTGTAATTAATATTAATTTTAGTAAAAATTAAAAAAGAATGAATCATATTTTAGTTAAAAGTCATTGAAAACTAAAATATATTTCCTCAACTAATTTTCAGACCTTCTCAACTCTAGATATATGTTCTTTGAAATCCTATGAAGCTTGGCTTATGAATCCTGCCTTAGAGTGCTCTGTGAAGAATAATGAACAGGCAATAGAACTTACCAACATTATGAAAGGAGGGTTAAGGTACCCAACCATGAATCTATGTTTACCTAATTCCTAATTTTCCTACTATCTTCAACTATTTACCAGCTGCATTAACCAGCCTCCCTTTTTTCCTTGAGGACTTCTCTAATACAGCTATAAGCAACACTGAAGCACTTAAAACCACGTAATCCTCTTTGGAAGGTAATTTATACTAGGGCTTTAATACAGAAGTACTTAAAAATTATATATGAAAACAAAGGATATGCAATTGTATTGAATTTTGACAAAGATATCACTGGGTCACTCGGAAAGATCATGGTAGCAAAAGAATGGGTACAAAAGAAGTATACTAAAGATTTAAGGCGAATAAACAAGTAGAATCACGAATATATACTTTGTGAAAACAAGCAAGAATAAAACACTATTACAAATATTTCTAACCTGATTTATTATGTGACTTTGGGCATATTACTTCTTCTTTGTGTAACTTCTTCCTACTGACCACCCCTTGTAGTAACAAAGAGAGATGTTTTACCTCATTGTACAGTATATATCAATGATATGCCTAAACACAGTGGAAACCCAGAAGAGATCTCCAGCAAGGTCATCAAGGCTTTTCTAAAATCCCCTACCCTCACAGCTCTTTTGTGCAAAAGAGGCCTCTGACCTGGATTCTCTGTTCTCATAGCAACAACAATGAATTCAGCCACTGATCAGACCGTTAATGGAAAACTTGAAGGGACCATTGTTAGCCCAGGTAAAAGTAACATTAGGAATTCTATCATCCTTTGACTCTGAAGTTTGAAACTCATAAATTCTCTATGTGGAATTCAGCTCCACGGATCATCAATGATGAGCCCAGGAGCTGAATTAGGAAGATAGGATAGAAAAGGAAAGATAAAGATGCAAGAATGAAAACAGTCAGACTGTGGTTAAAGAAAGTGATAAATGTATTCCTATTTTTTTTCCTATTGCCATAGCAATATACTTCTCAAACATGGATTTTACAAAACAGAATTAGCTCTCATCAGGACTGTCTTTCATGGAAGGGAAGGAGGTCCACCCCTATCAGTGGACTGGGGAAGGAGCATGGGAGGAGATGAGGGAAGGAAGGGGTGGGATTGGGAGGGGATGAGGGTGGGGCTACAGCTGGGATACAAAGTGAATAAATTGTAATAAATAAAAAATTATATTAAAAACGTTTTCTAGAAAAAGTAAAAAAAAAATAGAACTCAAGCAGCTCTAATAAGGAGGCAAGTAATGGACTAGGTAAAGATCAAAACAGTGCTCCACTACTTTATTTCTTGACTAAGGGTTTTTCAGCAGCTCACGACTAATTTTAATTCCTGAGTACTCTCAAAGATTCCCAAATCAAGAATTCAGAGATTAAAACCTTAAAGAGAAATTGTTTATTTTTATTTTTATATTAATTACAGTTTATTCACTTTGTATCCCAGCTGTAGCCCCCTCCCTCATTCCCTCCAAATCCCACCATCTTCCCTCCCTCATCTCCTCCCATGCCCCTCTCCAAGTCCACTGATAGGGGAGGTTCTCCTCCCCTTCTATCTGACCCTAGGTTATCTGGTCTCATCATAACTGGCTACATTGTCCTCCTCTGTGGCCTGGCAAGGCTGCTCCCCCACCCAGGGGAGGCGGTCAAAGAGCTAGCCACTGAGTACATGTCAGAGACAGTCCCTGTTCCCCTTACTAGGGTACCCACTTGGATACTGAGCTGCCACGGCTACATTTGAGCAGAGATTATGCAAACTGATAATCAGCTAATATACACTGGCATGCTTAAAATGATTCTTAAAATAATAAACTTCTTTCACATTAGTAATTAATCTACTACCCTTAAACAGCAAAATCCCCAATATCTCCTGGGCTGCTGAAGTCAGAATTTTCCAGATCATTTCATGGTCTGGTATCCAATTGTTAATTTCAGATATAGCACAGATCATCTATATTATTTTCACTTCTTCACTCCCTTTAAACCTTTGTTACTTTTCTTGTGTATCCATTCATTTACTACCATGATCTCTCTGAGTAACACAATGATCTCTTTACCCAAATTCAGTGGAATTACATAACCTTTCCCAAAGTCGCATAGTAAATCAGGTTAGTGAAAATGTGTCAAAATGCTATCCTTTTGCTTGTTTTCACAAACAAAAGTATATATTCATTATTCTAATGCTTCTCTCCCTTTTAATCTTTGCTACATTTCTTTTGGTTCCATTCTTTTACTACCATGATCTCTTTGACTCCAGGTACTGTCAACTATCTGTTTTGATTATTTGGTGTAAAATAATCAAACTATTGCCCATTGTTTTGGGCATGCATTGTTTTTCATGCTGGGTATTGAACCTGTAGCCCCAAACATACTAAGCAAATGCTCTATTAATAAATAAATAGAAAGAAAAACAGGGAGTAACATGAACAGATAGGACCAGGCAGAAGAATGAATTTCAAGGATGGATAACAAGGTAAAGAAAATAATACATAAGGGTAAGATGATCAACTCTCATTAAGAAAAGCAAATGGGATGGACTTCAGAAGAGGGAGAAAATAAGAAACAGGACAGGATCCTACCACAGAGGGACTCTTGAAAGACTCTACCCTACAAGGTATTAAAGCAGATGCTAAGACTCATAGCCAAACTTTGGGCAGAGTGCAGGGAATATTATGAAAGAAGGGGGAGAACGAAAGACCTGGAGAGGACGGGAGCTTCTCAAGGCGAGCAACAGAACCAATAAATCTGGGCACGAGGTCTTTTCTGAGGCTGATACTCCAACCAAGGATCATTCATGGAGATAACCTAGAATCCCAACACAGATGTATCCCATGGCAACTCAGTGTCCATTGGGTTCCCTAGTAATGGGAACAGGAACTGCCTCTGACATGAAATGATTGGCCTGCTCTTTGATCACCTCCCCCTGAGGGAACTATAACCTTACCAGGCCACAGAGGAAGACAATGCAGCTTGAGACTTGATAGACTAGGATTAGATGGAAGGGGAAGAGGACCTCCCCTATCAGTGGACTGAGGGAAGAGCATGGGTGGAGAAGAGGGATGTAGGATTGGGAGGGGAGGGGGGAGGGACTACACTTGGGACACAAAGTGAATAAACTGTAATTAATAAAAAAAAGTAAATAAACTTAATAAAAAATAATATACCTAAAGAAATAATTAATTAACATGACTAAAATATTACAGAAGTCATGGATACTTAGGGGATCAAACTTCATATTAGAAGAAGGAGCATATATATATGCCAAAAAGGCTCAGAAAGAGTAAAAATTCTTTTTTTTTTTTGTAAAAATTCTTAGGTAATATATCCAATGAAATTATAGCCAAGACTTTTCCAAACATAGAAAAAAGTACACATTTAAATAAAATACTAAAAGATGCACAAGAAAGATGCCAACTCACAAGGGAAAAAAGTCAGGAAAAAAATGTCAGTATAAATCAAATCTTTTATCAGTATCACTAAAATCAGGAAAGCATAGAATGATAATTTCTATCATTCTATCATAATCCTTTTTTTCCTTGCACACCACTCTAATACGCTTATAACCAATACTGAAGCACTTACAACCATGCAATCCTCTTTGGAAGGTAAGTTATACTAGTGCTTTGTTACACAAGTGCTTAAAAATGATAAATGGAAACCAAGGATATGCAATTCTTTTGAATTTGGGCAAAGAGATCACTGTGTTACTCAGAGAGATCATGGTAGTAAATGAATGGATACAAGAGAAATGCAGCAAAGATTTAAGGGGAGTGAAGAAATAAAAATAATCACTGGCAACCGAAATAGGTGAAGTTAGTAAAGTTATATCTTAGAACTAACTGAGTATAAAGGAAAGAATTGTCTGTTTCAGACAGCAAAGCAGTAGTGACAGAATCATATAACCCTTGTGGCACCAGAAAAAAAAGCTCCATGATTTAGTGTTTACCCTAGGTTTTAGTCTTTGAGCCATTATTTTCTCAATATGCTCCTATTCCTCTTCTTTACAATGGTAATGTGTAAGCATTAGTTTTTCTTTCTTTTTCTTTTTGTGTTTTTTGGTTGGTTTGGTTTTTATTGTTTTTTTTTGTTTTCTATTATTTTTGTTACAATTTATTAATTGTATATCCTGATTGTAGCTCCATTCCTTTCCTCCTTCCTGCCCCTTCCTCTTCCCCCCATCCACTTCTCATAGTCCACAGAAATGGGGAGTTCTCCTCCCAGCCATCTGACCATAGTTTATTAAATCTCAGCAGGGATGCCTGGATTCTCTTCCTCTGTGGCCTAGCACCTCATCACTAGGTGCTAATTTTTCAAATGCTAATTTATTTGGGTTTTCTTTATCTTACACCTCCCTTCCAACCCCCTAATTCCAGGTAGGAGAAAACAAGGCTGTAAGGGAAAGGAGACATAGCCCTCTTTTTTTCCTGCTGGGTGGAGTAGGATTCTTTTGGAGGCAATACCAACATCTGTCTTCAGGAAATCCAGAACTCCAGATAACTAGCAAACCATCAAACGTAGCAAGCAGTCCTTCTCCACCTTCTCCAAGTTGCCACACTCTTTTTTTACTCTAGCCTATCATATTTATGCACCTCAAAGTCCTCAAAATTCAACTAATTCCACTTGACAAAGACCACACTCCACACAAAACAATTAACAGGCGTGGACGAATTAAAATCAAAATGTCCACAACATTTCCCCCTTTCTGTTTAAAAGATGACTTTTTTCTCTAACATCAATAAACTATATACAATAAGAATTATGAGAATTATCAGGTAAGAATTACATTTGCAATGTCCAGTTCATTTGTATTTGGCAATTTTAGAAAAAGAATTCTACTATCTATCCTATCCTGGGGAGTCCTAAATTCTATACTTAAATCACTTTCTTATCATATTTTCTATCAACCTAAACACCCCTTTCTAGATCTTAAAACATCTTTTTATTTTTATTTTTTTTAATTTTATTTTTTTCTTATCAGTTACATTTTATTAACTCTGTATCCCAGCCGTACCTCATTCCCTCCCAGTCCCTCCCTCCCTCCCTCATCTCCACCGTGCCCCTTGCCAAGTCCACTGATAGGGGGGACCTCCTCCCCATTCATCTGATCCTGTTTTATCAGGTATCTTCAGGACTGGCTGCAAAGCTCTCCTCTGTGGCCTAACAGGACTGCTCCTCCCTTGGGGGGTGGGGAGGCCAAAGAGCCAGTCATTGAGTTCCTGTTAGAAATAGTCCTTGTTCCCCTCACTATGGGAAACCAATTGGTTACTGAGTTACCACAGGCTACATCTGAACAGAGGTTCTAGGTTACATTCATACATGGTCCTTGGTTTCATGTCAGTCTCAGAAAAGACCCTGTGCCCAGATATGTTTGGTCCTTGTGGAACTCCTATCCTTTCCTCATCATACTAACTCCCCTTCTTTCTTATGATTCCCTGTACTCTGCCAAAGGTTTGGTCATGAGTCTTTGCTTTGAAAACACTGCTAGTTAGAGTTTTTCAAATGCGCTCAGTAGACTCCTGCCAATGTTTAATGTGCATCCCATCTGTCTTTCAAAACGAGGATTGATAATCATACCCCATGTCCGCTCTCTTGATTATCTTTTTTAGGTGTATAGATTTCATTATGTTTATCATATCTTATAGGTCTATATAAGTGAGTATATACCGTGTTTGTCTTTCTCCTTTTGGGATATTTCACTCAGGATGATCTTTTCTAGGTCCCACCATTTGCCTGCAAATTTCATGATT